GTCTCATATGCGCCTATACATGAATAAACTGTAATATTATTTTGCTCTTGGAACTTTGGAGACGAAGGAAAATATAACTAACAAATACCGGAGATATTCAATATGATGGCGGATATCCAATTATTCTTACTGGACGAGTAGGATTGGAAAACAGTGATTTTTTTTTGTTAAGAGGGTCATACGTATTGTTAATTAAATACGTTAAAAATATCATTAATGACCATACATTCTTAAATGTAATGTTAGACACATGATCAAAAATAGCAAGTCACCCATAATGTCGAACAATCAGACTTGTATTGCATTTGTACTTAATGTATCCCATTGAAGTAAAATGTGCATGAATAAGATATATTTAAAAAAGAAATTGTAGCAAATTCAAGGTGCAAAAATAGCAGATGTTACAGCATCCATTGTATTACTGTTTTTAAGGTTCCAAATTTCAAGTAATTACAATCATCGAAATAAAGTTTTTTGAAAATAGTGTACATAGTATTGGCTGTTTATGCTGTTTATAAACATATTCTTAAGGTGATGTATGTTACATTTTAAGTCTTTTCTATTCTGGTAAATGAAATCGTGAGTCACTGTCTCAAGACATTTTCAAATTGGTCAACATACAAAGAGCTGTGTGTGAGGGGTGAACTTTCTGGTGTGTTAGGTATAGACATAGAGAAGGTGGACGATCTAAACTCGACATTGTTAAAGCTGATTCAAATATCTGGTGTGTAAGGTATAGACATAGAGAAGGTGGACGATCTAAACTCGACATTGTTAAAGCTGATTCAAATATCTGGTGTGTTAGGTATAGGCATAGAGAAGGTGGACAATCTAAACTCGACATTGTTAAAGCTGATTCAAATATCTGGTGTGTTAGGTATAGGCATAGAGAAGGTGGACAATCTAAACTCGACATTGTTAAAGCTGATTCAAATATCTGGTGTGTTAGGTATAGACATAGAGAAGGTGGACAATCTAAACTCGACATTGTTAAAGCTGATTCAAATATCTGGTGTGTTAGGTATAGACATAGAGAAGGTGGACAATCTAAACTCGACATTGTTAAAGCTGATTCAAATATCTGGTGTGTTAGGTATAGGCATAGAGAAGGTGGATGATCTAAACTCGACATTGTTAAAGCTGATTCAACTTTCTGGTGTGTTAGGTATAGACATAGAGAAGGTGGACGATCTAAACTCGACATTGTTTAAGCTGATTCAACTTTCTGGTGTGTTAGGTATAGACATAGAGAAAGTGGACGATCTAAACTCGACATTGTTAAAGCTGATTCAAATATCTGGTGTGTTAGGTATAGGCATAGAGAAGGTGGACAATCTAAACTCGACATTGTTAAAGCTGATTCAAATATCTGGTGTGTTAGGTATAGGCATAGAGAAGGTGGACAATCTAAACTCGACATTGTTAAAGCTGATTCAAATATCTGGTGTGTTAGGTATAGACATAGAGAAGGTGGACAATCTAAACTCGACAGTGTTAAAGCTGATTCAAATATCTGGTGTGTTAGGTATAGACATAGAGAAGGTGGACAATCTAAACTCGACATTGTTAAAGCTGATTCAAATATCTGGTGTGTTAGGTATAGGCATAGAGAAGGTGGATGATCTAAACTCGACATTGTTAAAGCTGATTCAACTTTCTGGTGTGTTAGGTATAGACATAGAGAAGGTGGACGATATAAACTCGACATTGTTTAAGCTGATTCAACTATCTGGTGTGTTAGGTATAGGCATAGAGAAGGTAGACGATCTAAACTCGACATTGTTAAAGCTGATTCAGCAAAATGCGGTCACCATTATTCTCTGTGTCGTCATCACCATCATTTTAACCATTACCGTTATTTTACCACCAAGATTTCCATCATTATAGTTAGGGCAGTGAGATGGTCTGCTTCTGTGGTTCGGTGTTCTACAAGCATGTAAAGCCTGCCACAACCATGTAAAACCTGCCACTACCATGTAAAGCCTGCCACTACCATGTAAAACCTGCCATTACCATGCAAAGCCTTCGACTATCATAACCAGCCAATACACATCACAATAATGCAGATTATAATCGCTCGACAAAATGGATGTACAATAGATACATACGTTGTAGGTGCGGGGTGATTGGTAAATGGGCGATATATACATGAGTGGCCAATGTCGGCTGTATACAACACAGACACATTTTATAAAACTAACACTGTCTTTTAAACTCTTGTATCAGATATATGCTAGTCCCGCTGTAGACTGAACGCGATTAAGACACATGTAAGACACATGTAAAACACATTTAAGACACTATTATGGCACGTTAACCCCCCCCCCCCCCGATTTTTTTTTACCGCCCCCCCCCCCCCCCCACGAACGAAATTAAATTTATAGAATTTATATAGAAAATATATACTTTTAACAGTGTCCGCCCCCCCCCCCCCCCGAAGAAAGTCTACCCCCCCCCCGAAAATTTCAAGTGCCCCCCCCCCCCCCCGGAGAAAAAAGTCTGGAAGAAACACTGGTTGACATGTCGTGGATTACTAACGTGTTAAATCTGATACAGTGCTACATTCAGTGTAAATATTCAAATATATATTAAGTGAATACGCAATTAGGTTTTGTAATTCTAAAATTGCAATAAAAATGAGTTTCCAAAATACTACCGTCTTATTTCAAAAATATATCAAGGGCAATAACTTAAAAAATAACTTTAACATATATTTATATCATTACATTTTCTTTTTAAATACTAGAAAGGGCTGATAGTTGCCCAGAATTAAATTAACTAAATAACTTATTGATGCACGTAAACAGATTTTCTTATTGCTCTTTTATGTGTCTTAAAGAATAGGTGAATACATTAATTACAAAACTGTGCCCAAACGTTATACATTTATCAAAGACAACAGATTAGGTCTATTTTTTTTTGATAATTCTGTAGTCAGGGCATATTGTCTTAAAGAATGTTGTTCTTTATGTCAAATTATATGTTAAGTTTCAATTTGCGGTTTCTCATTTTAGTGTAAGGGAAAATATATTTGTTTGGACGGACACATTTGATTTTTGTTTCAATTGTATTAAATTTTAATGTCAGTTGTCAAGTACCAATAAAGTTTGAAGACATTCATCAAACTGAAAAAAAATTAAACTGAGTAACAGTATTTAATCTACACCAGACACACTATTAGACAGACAACCAAACATACACCGTATTCCCATCTTTATTTATACTTATACATCAGACAATCGTCGACAATTATCGACTTTCTGAATTATGATAAATGAAACAAAGTTAAGTAAAATATTGAGTGCAATATTTGTATAGTGCACAATATCATATGCATTATATGTTTGTTCTTACATTTTGTAATTACTCCATATTAGAAAAATTGACCTCACACTTTTGTGATGAATATATATATATATATATATATATATATATATATATATATATATATATATATATATATATATATATATATATATATATATATATATATATATATATATATTTAAATTATTCAAGACATTTACTTTTAAAGAAATACAATATAAATAAAAGTACAAAATTAATGTGTGTCTCCTAATTTATTTGACTGAACTGAATCGATGCACCAAAAGAGTTCATTTTATAGTATACACCACAGTTGTTGGTCAATGCGCTTTTTTAATCGACATGTTTTGATCTTTAAGTATAGAACTTTAAGATTATGATGTTAAATTATATTCTATTTAAATAATAAGCCATCATGTAGAGAATAGTAGCAATGACAGCAATATCATCCACTTTCTAAAACATACTTTGTCCACATTATAAAGGTAGTTGTACACAACCTCAGCCATACATTCCCCCGTGTAGCTACCGATGTCTAGGGAAGTTAAAAAAACGTGTAACGGGTAGACTATTAGCTGGTGAAATTAAAAACAAGAAAAATAAATACAAATAATGTTACATGTATTCCTGATTTTTTTTTGTTTGACTGGAAAGAAAACTATCTGTTGTTTATTATTTATCTGCTCCGTTAGTTGGCAGTCAATTATTGAGTCATGCTGGGGTTCCAAAGAAAGTTGGGGAACTAACAAAATGCCTGTTTAGCTGATAAGTAAATCATGTACTGTATAAAGTGTTAAATTTAAACAAAATGCTATAATAGTTTTTTAATTAAAATTGTCAATCAGTTTAGATGTACCGTAAATATGTACTTTTTAAAAAAAAATATCAATATTTAATAAAGATTTTAACGTGCTTATCAGTGACGCAATTTATTGAATTTAAAATACTGTTTTTTTAAAGTAATATAAATTAGTTTGGCGGAGAAAAATGTATATATTTCAGGGAGTAGCCTACGTCATGATAAGAAGATCTATAGAATGTAGATCTAAATCAAATTTGAATGTTATTGCTCATTTCTTCATATTCTAAAATTGGAAGAGGACGCCATTAGTGTATTGTGTTTTTTTCTGCAGTTTAAACTTGTTGCAAATGACGTCATTGTTTATTGCGTTCTTGTCACAACCAAATCCAGATAGTCAACTTGATTTCCAAACATTGGCACTATCCAGATGGTCAACTGTCATTATACAGGTAGGGAAATGACTTTCTGAATAAAATAACATTCCCCGTTTTACGATATTTGAAAAAGTCGGCACCTCGGCAGTGGCGAGAATGGAATGGTTGCAATGGGGCTGGACACAGCACGGCTGTGATGATGGGCCTGGTACCCAAGCGGCTGTCTGTATACTTTCTAGTGCACATATTCTCACTGTTCTCTGATGTTTTTTTTTTCTGTTTAAACTTTTGTTTCTTTACAGTATAATGTTTGTTATGAGTTTTGAAAATGAATTAATATGACTTTATAGTTGTGCAAGGAGCTTGAGATCCGCAGTAATTAAAAGAGCCACATGCATCTCGCGAGCCGCAGGTTGCCGACCCCTGCCCTATCTTCTAATACATGACAACTTTAAGTAAATTCAATTTATTTTTTATTTTATTTTTTTTTGTCATGTAATCATTGACTATTTATTCAATATCATACATAAAGGTTTTTCAGGACAAAATATGACTCAAAGTAATAAGTTGACAAAAAGTACAAAAACTGAGAAAACTCCACTGATGTATCCTTTTAGACTATACATGTTCAGCTGTAACAATGTGGGCCAGTATACTAAGGATAAATGCCTCATGTTCTTAAATGACAATCCTATCGAGAAGTTGGGTCCCTGTATCTGGAAGCCTGTTCTCTCACTCGTCTCTCATACACAGCACGATTTTGACGATAAATTGTGTATGCCTCAGCTTGAGCAGGGTCTTTTATGTTAGGCTCATTCTGCAACTTCTGGATACCCAGTAAAATCTGTTTTATTGTGACTGCAGGACGCCAATCTTTTTCTTCATCCAATAATGAAAGACATACTGTACCAGACGGATAGACATTTGGATGAAACAAAGGTGGCTCAAATTTACATTTAGGTGGAGAACTAGGATAATCATCTTTAAACAGCATTCGCAACATGTACAAACCACCCTCCCATGGTGTTCCCTTCTTGCCTGGTATTTTACATTCCCAATTTAAAAGATTTAGTGTGCCGTCTGGATTTTTTGTTGGTTTGGCTACAAATCCAAATGGATGATCTTTTCTCCATGCTTTTCTTTCTTCACCCAAACGACCAAGTGCAATGCCAGACATTTTGTTGTGTGTTTTAAGTCCTTAAACTCAGCACTAACTCTCTAAACTTTTTCAATCTTCAGCTAACAAACACAGATCAATCAACAATGACCAACTCAACCACAACCACTCGCAAAATTGTAGATCTACAACTAGATCTAGATCTAAATGATCTAAATGCAATGTTACAAATACATTGGTAATATAAGCTAACACACTATACTTTGATTACAAAAAAAATGTAACTAGTTTTTAAGTAATTTTAATTCTAAATAAAATATATCAATAAACCCATTAAAATAAGCGCTATTCTACTCCATAAGTAAATTCAATTTTTTTTTTTTTAATTCTTTTTTTTTACTTAAATTAAAAAAAAACTTATAAACATTACTTTATTATGATCAATCATTCTAGGCAGAAAATTGTATTTAACATAAATGACTAGGAAACAAAAAAAAATAATCACTTGATTCATTCAACATACTGTAAAGTTTTGCCATTCATACAGAGTTAGTTGCCTACTGACTATATTTTTGAAGAAATTGTAATCCCTATGTTAATAAATACTTTTTATTCAATTTAGCAAAGATTAAATTCAAAATGAAACTCTAAAACAAAAATAAACCATCCATAGCTAATTGTTCGACCGACATGTTCATTTGTCTTTAAAATACAATGATTGTAAAGTCACGGTTTTTCATGTTCACATCAACATGCAACTTTTAATAATAAAGACGTAAGTAGCTCAGAATTAAAATTTATTTGTGATTCCAATTTAAAAGTGTGTTTATTTTATTTCTTATATATTTTTATTTCTGATTATTTTTAAAACCACACTAGTATATTGATGGTAATGAACTTTATTTTATTTGTGTTGTTTTCCTTAGAATTTTGATAAAAAATAGAAATGGTAAGTGACTGAAACAATATATTTAACAGATTATATTATTACATAATGTACAATTACATGCTTACATCTGTTGTTATGACAAGATTTATCGTGTTTACATAACACTGTATGAGCATCCACTACAACATTGTTAAATATTATTTCAGCTTTTTATAACTCAAACGACATGCTTATGTATATTTATTTTCAGAATGTAAGAATATATTAGTCTTATAGCGACATTTGGGATTACCTGATAATAGCAGTGGAATATATGTAGATTGGCTTTTGTCAGATTTCAGCAGCCATAAACTATGATTATGTAGGTAGTTCAGGATTTCATGAAAAGAAAGTGTAAGATAATATTTGGCATTATTAGTGAATTACTTAATTTAAAAAAAAATCAATTAAATAAGTAAATTAATTACAAAAACAATGGCCAAGCATTATACATATATCAAAGACTATCAATTGGGTAACTGTAATTGACTGTATCTTTAACTTATTGGGAATTTCCTATATACTTTTCTTCTTAGAGTCAAATGTAATTTTTAGTTTCATTTTGTGGGAGAAGTGTGTGGTGAGATCACGCAGCACATAATTTGACGCTTGGCTTGCCTTAAACACAGACACCCTCTCCACGCCTCTTTAGACACATCTACCCCCCCTCCCCCTCTGTCCACTTTACCCTCTGACATGATAACCCCACATCGCCTTTAACTGTTCCAACTACCCCAACACCCACCCCAATATCAATTTCGAATATATATTCATTTACTTATTTAAAGTTCTAAATCTTGCTTCTTACCCCTCAATGCGACCAGTTTATAAACTGGTCAACATATTTTGTTTCCTTACATAGAAAACGCTTCACTGTCCCATTGACCCACCCCAAACCCCCCCCCCCCATCTTTGAACAATTTCCTTTCCACTCCCCACCCGGAGTCCTGACACTTTCATTTGACCTTCGCCCCTTTTACTGTTATCCCATAATTTATTTTATTAAAAAAAAAAAAAATAAATAAAATAATTCCTATCCTATTTGTATTCTATCAAAAGTACATATAGATGTTAGTACAACTACATTTGTATCATTATCTCTACACTTTCAAAAAAAAGGGTTTTCCTTATCTCATGGTGCACGTTGAAGTATTCAGCATTTAATGATAAGCGGCTTATAAACTTCCAGTAGAAGACTACCAGTTTTGATAAAGTCCATGGGCTAACGAGTCTTTTTAACACCATTCTCATCAATATAACTTTCCATCGATACACCGATTGCTATGTGGTAATCATTAACCATCCTGTAACAGTGTTAACCACTTTCGAGTTTTTTACCAGCAAAGTATCACAATCATTCATTTTATATGCTGGATAGTAGTTTAATTTGGCATTTATTTATGTCTAAGCTCCTTGTGCTATAAGAATCTGATACACGTTCACAATTGTAATGAAAAGATATCTCATGTTTATGTTAAAACAAAAATTGTGGTCGCAGATTTTAGTGTGATTTAAATAATTTATTTTGGACGGACATTTTTTTCCAACTGTATTACAATATACTGTCAGTTATCAAGTACGAGTGAAGTTTGAAGACATTCATCAAATAGAAATAAATTTAAACTGAGTGACGCCATTTAATCCACAGCAGACATACACACTGACAGACAGACAGACAACCAAACATACATCGTATTCCCATCTTTATCTATATTAATAGATACGATATTTGTCTTAAAAAATATTGACTTTCTGAATTATGATACATGAAAGAAAGCTCCAACGTTTTTACTGAAATATTAAGTGCAATATTTGTGGAATACACAATTTCATATACATTGTTTTGTTTGTTCTTACATGTTGTAGTTGATCGAAAGTAGAAAATTAACCACACGTTAAGTACATAAAAAACAACATTTAAAAATATTAATTTCTTTACTTCAAGACTTTGACTTTCAAACAAACGAAACATAAATACAAACACATAATTAAGTTTATTCATTTATTTTACAGAACGTAACCGATACACCGAAATAATTCATTAAATAGTTTGAACCAACAGTTGTTGGTTAATTCGCTGTTTTAATCGACAAAATGTGATCTTTGAGTGTAGGACTTTTAGATTATATTAATTTTAACAAAGTGAATTGTATTAAAATCATTAGCCATCATGTAGAGAATAGTGGCACTGGCAGCAATATCATCCAACACTTACTAAAACATATTTTCTCCACATTATAGAGGTAGTTGTAAACAACCTATACCATACATTACATTCCCCCGTGTAGCTACCCATGTCTAGGGAAGTTAAAAAAAAACAACCTGTAACGGTTATCTCATCATCTGGTGAAACATACCTCACAATCACAGTCAGCTGATCATTTTTAGGCCGTCAATTATTGAGTCATGTTTGGGCCCCAAAGACATTTGGGAAACTAACCTAATGCCTGTTTAACGTAAATCCTTCAGTGTAGGGCTATATAGTGTTGTATTTAAACTAAACGATTGCATAATTTTAAATTAAAATTGTCAGTTTAGAATTGCCATGACTTTTTTATATCAATTATTAAAACAAACTAAAAGTGCTTAACAGTTGCCTTTGCTTGAATTAAAACTATATAAGGGAGACAACACTAACAAACGTGCTTAATTATCGATATCAAGTTTATGGAAAAATCTACGTTTAATGTAATAGGATAAAATGCAGTTATTGTAAATAAGTATTTGTATTTAAAACATATACGAAATTATTAAGCAAACTACCTACTTGTTAAAAAATTATTATTTTCTATAGTTATATATAGCATAACAGTAATTTACTAGCACACAGTTTGTCTTATAAACCGAAACCTATACTTGTACTTGTAATTCAGTTTGTTTATTATAATGTGCAATAAAAATATTTTATATTTCAACACATTCGGAATAACAGCCAACATTTAACTAAATATCGGTCTTCAAGTTCAGATCATATATTTTTGATCTAATTAATTGTCTTTTCATACCCTCTCCTATAGGATTCATATACAGCAATATATGTCGTATAGTACAAAGAACACTCATGCACTTAGCAACAATTTCGGTTTCCGTCGTCGTCCGCTGAAAACCACACAATTTTACAATGCCTGGAACAAAGGATGATGTTGCTGTTGAGTCAGAAACAAAAGAGACCACAGAGCCAATTGTAGCAAAGACAGTTGAAGATGTTAAAGGCAAAGCTGATGAGGCTGATGCTGAAGCAGAAGAACAAACAGAAGAAAACACAAAAACAGAAGATTCAGAAGAAAATACAAATGAAAATGCTAGCTCAGAAGAGACAGAATCAAAAACAGAAGAAACAACAGCAGAAAAGCGATCTGTAGATGAAAAAGAAAGTGAAGATGCAGAAGATGAAAGTCCGAAGAAAAAGGCAAAGACAGACTCAAATGAATCATCGAATGGCACCACAGAAACAACTGAATCTGCTTAGTTCTATTATATATATAATTTTTTTTTCCTTTTCATTTTGAACTTAATCACAAACTTGTAAAAATGTGTTTATCATCATGTTCAGGAGAAAACTGAGATATTTATAGTCAGGTTGTACACTTCATCATGGTTCTCATCATTTGTACTGTTCTTGTAATAAACATCTTAATGTATAAAAAAAAAAAAAAATATTTTATATTTCAAAAATTAAAAAACAATGACTTTATATAATTTTCCTAATACAAGCAATTTATTCAGGTTAATCAGGGGTACGCGCAAGGGATACTATGCCTAAACAATTATTTTAAAATAATAACTATAATATTCATATATAGTATATTTGATATGGTAAGGGCATATGTACAGTATTGGAGCTTGGTTGGTTCTTGAAATGTGCTAACTAAATGTAAGCTGTCTCTATGAGAAAGCCAAACCATCCCTTACACTACAGATAGAAATAACACGGTTTTGTTTTTAGCACTTTAAGCTTGTTAATTTAAACTTCCATTTTTATACTATTTCAAATCAAAAATAATTCTTCGTTGCATAAGCAGTGCTTTAAATGTAAGTTTAATACATTCCTACCTGGATTTATAAATAGGCCTACTGTTTTTATTCATCAAATAAAAATGCAAAAAAGGTGAAAAAAAAAATAAAAAAAATAAAAATTAAAAATTAAAATAATACATTCATATCTGTATATATAAAACAAAGTGGTC